GACCTGTCCCCGAACCCACCAATCAGCAGCGACCGCGAGGAAGGCGCCGCCCGGGCGGGGCGATGAAGAGCCAATGAGGAGGCGCTGGGGGCGTTACGTCATGGAGTGGGTATTACCGTGCGCCGCGGCGCCCCCCGCTGGCCTCAGCGCTGCCCCGGGCCGGGCCCGCAGCGGGAGCGGAGCGGAGCCAACCGCGCTCCCAGCAGCGGGGACTACGAGCGAAGGGGAGGTTCTGTCCTCCCTCAGGATAATGCGGCCTTTGGCTCTACGCGTTCGCTGTTTGCCCTTGTGTATCCCCTGCATGAGCTGCTCCGCGGCGGTCACCGCTCCGTTCGTAAGGCCCCAGCTCTCCAGTAGATAAAACTGGAACACAAACCAAGACCTGGGGAGGAAGGATGGGGTGGCCTTTGCCGGGGCACCGTGACAAGTTGAGGGTTGTGCGGCACAAGGTGTTGCTCCTGGTGCCTCTGTCTTCCCCAGCCCGAGCTGCCTTCTCAGATCTCAGAATTAAAGACATTCCAGCAATGTGATTGCATTGCATATGGCTGTGACTGAAGAGTCATAAGCCTCAGAAGAGATATAAAAAGTACTTTTGGGTTTTCTCCCTCAAATTCCCTTTGTTAAGCAGGTGAGATGATAAGGACTAAAGATAGGACACCTTGCTCTGCAAAAATCACTTTGCAATCCATAAAACAATGAAGTGTCCATCTCTAACAGCAGGTTTCTCTCAGTTCCTGGTTAACTTTTCAGTAGTAGCTCATGCACAGATCTGCTTCCCAGCTTTGGCATTTCCTGTTGGAGACACCAACAAGTCTAGCACATAAAACCGATTTTTAGGGGAACCATCAGTGGTATGACTCCTTCATCTCATAGCATTCCAGGATCTGTGCAAGAGATCAGATGATGCAAACCTGTGTGTGAGCCAAGCATGGTAAAGCATCAGAAGGGCCCCGAGGAAAGGGAGAGTAAATTGGCTTCTCTTTCTTGGGGATCATCTGTTCTGCATAACCATTAGGAGAGGAACAAACGGGAAATGGGTTATCTATCAAAAAGATACCCCAGATAAAATTAAACTGGAAAAGCCAAAAGACCTTGGTCGTCAGGGTGTTCTTAAACCAAAAGGGAGAAGGAATGGCAAGAGAGAATTTGGCTGTCTTGGAAGTGATCACCATTATATAGCTTTAAGTTCTCAGTCTACAAATGAATTGCCCTGGATTTACCCAGAGTAACTGAGCTCATTTCCCTTTTTAGCTGATAAAAGCCCATTTGTCTGGAACTCCAGCATGCTAATTGTAAAAGCAGCATGTGGCAAAGGCTGATGAGTCACCAGCTCATTTGCTCAGCAGCCAGTAACAACAAACCCTTCATATTTCCTTGGGCCAGCCCAGAAGAGCTTTGATTTCCACATCCCGGAGTGAGCAAATACGCAGGTTGGGGACTGACCTGCCTCCTCCTCTTCCTCCTCCCTTTCCTCTTCCTCTCCCTCCTCCTCCTCATCTCTGCCTTGTGTCAGTGCTGTGGCACTCAAAAAGGTGGTTACCCAGGAGCAGTGGCTTTTGCCTCACAACACAGTGCTTCCAGCCATGGAGCAGGAATGTGATTTTCTCCTGAAGACCAGCAGGAAATGGTCCCCCATGAACTGGAAAGATGGAGCAGCTCAGTCCCTGCAGAATCCTCGCAGATGAGTGAGGGATGGCCCCACAGCAGGGAAGTTAAAACTGTTAATATTGTTTGGCAGCACTTCACAAGATCAAATCACCACTTGGTTTTCCAGCAGAGCACTTCCAAGAAATCCCACTGGTGATGAAAGCTCCTAGGTAGACAAAAATATCTGAGGTCTAGGCTGTAGAGCAGCCACAGCAGAATACAGTTTTGAAAGAGAAGCAGCTCTGGGAATTCTGCTCGGGAATGTCCTGTACTGGCCATTAGCATGAAACAGGCACCAGCTTTAGCATCCTCCCCATCGTGAGTGTGCCTTCAGCTTTTTACAGGATTTGCTGCCTCTGAACTGCTGCCAAGGTGATCCCAGGGATCTCATCCAGTTTCCAGCTCCCAGGTGATATTCCTCCCTGCCAGATTTTGTGGGTGAGTACCCAGCAGGTGGCATCCACATCCAGCACTTGTGCTGGAGCCCCACCTTCCTGAGGGCTTCTCTTCAGTTTTATTGATTCCAGGATCTGTTTTTTCATTAACACCTATTTTTAATTTGAATTTATTTTAAAATTTCAAAATATTCACTGGTTTAGTGCTTATTTAACTATTCTTATTCCTTCCTAAGGATAAATCATCATTCCTCTGTGTTCAGTGGCACAGCAGGTGAACCTTTATATAAAGATCATTAGAAAATAGATTTACTAACAAATTTACTTGTTAAAACTTTGATGTAAAACTTGTTTTTACTTTAAAAAAAAATACTTCAGATCTGTCCAGCTCACCAGTGAGAAATATGCTAGATCTAGGCTGGGAGAAATCAGGGCACATCACATCTCCATAATGTTTTTTACTCAAGAAAAATAGGTTTTGTGGGAGGGAAAAGGAGTGCTGAGTAAGTTCAAGCAGCATTCCCTAACAGCCTCACTTTCCAGCCCAGTTATTTGGCAAGGAGAGGCACTGGATTTGGGTGTCATCCTCCAACAATGGAAATGTTGCAAAATACATAGCACCACATATCAAGATGGGATTAGAAGTGAGGAACCAGAAGGAGTAGGAAGACATGAGCAGCCTTAGAGCAGAGCCTTAGGCACTATTGCAGAAACATGTTTTCTGGAACAGGATTACAACCACGTTACAGCTTTTGTTTGCTTGACAAAACCATAGATACAAGCCTGTGTTTCCACACTTCTGTGCAGATCCTGCCATGCCCCTGACTCCAGGAGCAACCATCAGCCCTCACAATTTTGCTGAGTATAAATCAAGATCTCATCTGCCAGTGAGAGTGTGGAGGATTAGGAATTGTGCTCCCTGCTCCTGCAGGCACTGAGCAGACCCACGCAGAACCCAATCTGCTGGGAAGTTTGGAGTTGGAGGTTAAGAGACCTGATGGAAAACAAACTCCTGTTCAATCTCTATCATGTTCTAAATCTTCTCTTCTCAGGTTTCTAAGGCTTGGATTACACCCAGGAAGAGACTGGTGCTTATTAATTAATTCCTTTGAGGCTGTTCAAAGTCATATTTAACAACAGTCTTATTCTGAGTTTGTTGGTGCAGCGTTGCCATAAGGATGACAAGCAGGAACTGGTGTGTTGGATTGCTGACTCTAGCCCATGGTCTGTCTAATCCAGCCTTGGCAGTGCAGATCCAAGTACCTCAGATGTGAGGGTTGGATCCTTTGCTGTGGAGAGTTATGGAGTTCTTGTGTCCCTGAAGAGGTTCCACCCAGTCTGAGTCATTAGTGGCTGCTTTACATTCTGGAACGTGAGGTCTATGTCCCTCCAAAACGTAATGGAAAGGTGGAGAATGAAACCCACAAAACTCTAGACCTCAGTAATTAGACACCCACAAGATTAATTACACCCTGTACGAAAAGAAAAGTGTAAAAAGCTATTGCGAAAGTAATTCTTACCTGGTCTAAACAGCTGCACTTCAGTGCCTCTGGCCAGGTAACACCTTGATTTTCTAGTCCCTCTTCCTTCAGCAGATCCTGAGCCCATTGCAAAAGAGGACACTGCCATTGCTGCAGGTGAACCTCAGCTCACCTCGCTGCCTGTCATGGACCTGCTGGGACAGAATCTGACTCAGGTCCCAGCTGGTGCTGGGCCTCACATCATAACAAATCCCCCCAGAACAGCTGTTGTGTGACAGTCTTTTCCTTCACTGCCATTTTTACATTAAAAGAAATACTCCCAAACTCCACTCTTTTCTCTTCTATACATCCTCACTTACTCCAAGCACTTCCTTCTCCAGCGTGTCAATCAGTGCAGTGCAGTGACCAGAGGGAGCACGGACTTCACTTTCCTGCCTTTGGCTCACATTGTGGTGGGAGCACATGAGCCATTTCCCACTCCATTCCTTTGAATCTCCCTCTCTATTTCAACTCAGCTTAATTCCAAACCACAAAGATCACTTTAGTCCTAGGCAGAGCATTTGGATTGAAGTTATCATTCAATAAATGTTTGTTGAGTCATAAGCTAACATTTAGTTGAATTCTACAAGGACAGGACAGTTTTCTAGAAGGGAGACTGAGAACTCTCTCTTCAAGGGACTTTTGTACACATATCCTTTTTTAACCAAGAATGATTGGTTAAAACCCTGTTGGTTTCAAGGATAAACCTATAAACACAGAAATAATCCTATTAAGAAACACTCAGAGGTGACCCTTGTTTGCAACAGCCTCACAAATAACCAGTGATGTGTGCTCCTGTGCTGTGTGTGCAGGCAGCAGCCCCAGAGCAGGAGCCCTTCCTGCCCACCTCTGTTCCACTGAGCTGGGACACGGTGTCCACAGGCCAAGGAAACACCAAGGACACATCCCAGGCTCCTCCTGCTCATGAAATGCACTTTATGGCTCTGCTGAGCCCATTCCTGATGAGTGATGTGCCTGCAGGGACACTGGCAGCAGTGACAACACGTTTGAAGGCTGTGAGGACCCCGTGCTTTGTGACCACGTCACCATCACCCGGCAGAGGTGCAAACAGCAATCTCAGACAGATTTCCACATAGCCAAGTGCTTCAGTTGTGCTCTGGACACACACAGCCTGGGCACAGCTGTCCCAGCAGAGGGGACAGCTGGGACACATCCCCTTGCTCTGTGCTAGGGTTTTCCAGGGCTGAGCTAAGCACAGGAGCAGCCTGGGGGTACACACTGGTGAGCAGGACAGTGACTGCTCTCTCCTCTGCCAACATGCAGTTCAAAGTCTGAATCAGTGAATTTTCTCATTTTCCACTTAAAGGAGGACATGGCAACAGAGCTTTGGGCAGAAAGGGGCAAACTGGAGTCTACTCTTGCTCTAGGATAAACTAGGATAAAATCCCCGTGTCTTCAAACAGTCCTGTGAAGACCCAGAAAGCTGAAAAAAGAAAAAAGGTATTATTTTTGGCTGAAAGTCTTTATGGCTGATGCAGGAAGTCTCTCATTAGTTACTCATTGCCTCAGCAAGTCTCATAAAACAGCCAGCAGAGCCCAGCAAAAACTTCGGTGTTGTGGGAGCTCAGAAATCCAGGAATTGAACGAGGCCTTGAACTCTTTTTATAGACTCACTTCTTACTGAACGACTATAAAATATTAAAATTCAGATCCTATAAATAAGGAGGGGAAAGAACTGCATTTCCCAGCAGAAGCAGCCTCTCCAGAGACTCTTCCCAAGGTAAGTCCAGTGCTACCTGATCCAGAGACAGGTTCCCCTGACAAGTGATTGGAGACAACAAACTCATGTAATGGAGATTAGACATAAAGACCCCTTGGATATGCTCTGAACTTGAAAATGCCCTGCAGCAATGGACTCAGTTTATTCCCTGGTGACCCACCGTGGCTCTCTCTTCTTCTGATGGCAGAAGGGATTAACCCCTGCGAGCCCTGAGCAGAGGCAGCAGTGCTGTGACCCTCTCTCCAACAGAGCCAGCTCTGCTCTGAGATGGCACAGAGATGCAGCTTCGCCGTCCCCTACGGAGCGCCCATCCTTGCTATTTCCTTCTTGGCATGTGTGGCCACAGGTAAGCAAAAAAAAATCCATCCTGGCTTTGTCCAAACCCCACCACACATTATTGAAACTACCCAAAGCTCGGTGATGTGCCACACCAGCATCCCAGATTTTGAGTGTTCTGGAGGTGATCCCCAGAGGACTGTCTGAAAACTGGCTTCTGATTTGAGAGTAGCAGAGAAGGAAATGGGGAGATGTCAGTATTTTCCAGCATTATTGCAGCAGGGATGATGAGGCCACAGTTTCCAAACCTGCTTTAAGCAATGAGAAGTGTGATAGGTTTGGCCACCTGGGAACACCTTCAGACAGGGACCTTCAGATTCCTTTATATTCACAGGACTCTAATACTTTTATAATCTGAGCTGTATTTTTAATTCATTATTCTATGGCCCAGGCTGCAGTAGTGAGTTTCATCCCATTACAATAATTTATTTCCCATACTGGGTGTTCATTTAGTATGTCCTGAGGTTTGCACCTTTGACAAACTGCAGCTCTGCAACAGCCAGGATGGAGCTGAGGGGCTGATTAACTCGTTTATACTCCCAAGGACACCCTACTCCAACTGAAAAAGTGTCAAACAGTGAGCACAGTGGTGCTTGGCAGCAGGAGGGTGATGGGATGGAAATGACCTGGGTGTCACATGGTCACTCCTGGCTTTAGAGATTTTGTTGTCCCAGGTCAAGCCTTGTGTTCTGGCGGTCAGCTGCAAGAGCCTGATTTTTATTTTAAATAACTGTGAGGGAGCTTTGAGATGAAGACAGCTTCTTGTCTCAAAAACTAACATTCCACCTGAAAACAGCTGTTAGATTGAAACCTGAAAGTCTCATCCAGCCTCCAAGGTGGAGGTCTGGAGAAGTGAGCAGGGCAGCTTTTGTGGGAAGGGTATGGCTTAGGATGCTTAAATGTCCTTGTCCTCCTTCTTCTGCAGATGTGGAACTGTCTGTAAATAACCACACTGCTGACTTCACCCTGTCTACACAGCCTGGCCCTGCCGTCTCCCTCTCGTGCCTCGTACACAACAGCAGCCAGGCCGAGGAGCTGCTGTGGTACCGTGGAGATGGGCAAGTGGGTCTGAAAGATGGGAATAAAGTGAACATCAGCAACATCTGCATATCCCCAGTCAATGAGTCTGACAATGGGGTCACCTTCACGTGTAAGCTGGCACGGGACAAGTCTGTGCAGGTGTCTGTGATCCTGGATGTCCAGTGTGAGTCGCCGTGGTGGATTCCTGTGTGGATGGAGTAGGGTGGGTTGGAGTTGTGGGCCAGGAAGCTCTGTCTGGGTGGTGTTTTGCACCCTTGTATGCTGTCTTCACCAAGAAAAAATGCATTTAGGAGGAGATAACTCGTGTGATAAGACACTCCCTTTCCACAGTAATGCTTATAGCCTGACCTAGGCCTCTTTTATAGGAGTGGGTGGGCCCTTAAGAAAGATACTCTGGATGTGTCCCTGCCTCCACCTAGATTATTTCCCAAGGATACAAGTCAGGGCAGAGGAAATACTGGAGTGACAGTCTCTGCCACTGACTGCCCTCCTCATTCCCAGGGATCAGGAAAAGCTGCACTATTGTGATGTGTTAGACCACTGAACAAGGAGCACAAGGGATGTGTGAAGGGAACTTATTTTGTGTCAACTCTCCTGAATGTAGGAATTCTATGAGGTTGGAGCAAGGTGGGGTCAGTCTCTTCTCCCAGGTTACAAGCTATAAGAGGAAACAGCCTTAAGTTGTGCCATAGGAGACTTAGACTGGGTATTGAGAAAAATTCCTTTACTGAAAGGGTCATCAAGTCCTGGCATAGGCTGCTCAGGGCAGCAGTGGAGCCACCATCCATGCAGGGATTTAAAAGATGTGGCACATTGTGGTGTCCCTTGTAGTGATGGGTTACTGGCTGGACTGAGTTTCAGAATGTTTTTCCAGCCTGAATGGTTCTGTGATTCTATGAGCAGCATTACTAATGACCCATTGATTGCATTCCTGTGAACAGTTCCTCCCTGGCTGAGTGGAGAGGAGACCCTCCACGTGGAAGAAGAGAAAGATGCCACTTTGACCTGCAACTCCAAATCCAACCCTCAAGCCCAAAGCACCTGGTTTAAGGACAACCACAGCTTGACCCTGCAGCCCAGTCGTCACGAGCTGTTCCAGACCAGTGAGGTCTTTCGGCTCTCCATCAGGAAAGTGCAGAAGTCTGACAGCGGGACCTACACCTGCGTGGTGGAATCACCCTTGGGAAATGGGACAAGGGATTTCCACCTCGTAGTTGAAGGTAACAAGGCTGCTGGATAATAAGCTTTACAAATAACTCTCTGTTCTCCTTATGACAGCAATCCATTTATATTACAAAGTGTAAAGGGAGTGTGGTAAATTCCCTGCATGGATTTCTGAGGGCACAGCAACAGCAAGGAGCTCTCTCTGCACCTGTGCCTGGGACCACAGCACCAGGAAGAGCCTCTCCTGCTCTACCTGTTGTTCAAAAGCACTTGGCAAGTGTGACCTGGGGCAGGCTCATCCCACTGCTGCTCTCCCCATGCTGACAGGGCACACTCAAGCATGGTTTAAAGCACCTCAGGTCTTCCTTGAAGCATCTTACTCGACCACAGTATTCTGTCATGCTGCTTAAGAGCTGCTTAAGGCAAGAGAAGTTGTGCTCCAGAGGTCACTGCAGGGGCTGGGTGCTCAGGGTTCAGACAGGTGACAAGAAATCACCTCTGTCCAGACCCTTTTCATTTCTTCCCTCTTGGCACAGGGAGGGAAGCAATGTTACCTGTGCCAGTGGTACCTCTAGACAGCCTTATTTCTGAGCATAAGAGTGCCTGGGGAATCTTCTTCAGGAACTGGCGTTTCAATTCTTCAGTTCACTAAAATACAGGCTCAGCTCCCTTCCCTCCAGGGGACTAAAACATAGAGTCAGTCTACAGACAGCAGAGACAGCAACAGTTAACTCAGCAGTGACAGCTGTGGGAAAAGAAGTGTCTTTCCACAGTCCTGTGAAATGTTCTGGGTTATGTGACTGCATTAATTTCTCACATAACCAACCTCTTCTTTCCTGACAGATAAAAAACCTGTTTTTCCCACGGAAGCTGTTATTGCTGCTGTTGTGGTGGTTTCAATCACAATACTTTTTGGAATTGTGGCTCGAAAAGATAAATTTTTTAAGGTATGGAAAGCTCTAGTTTCATAGGAAAAAAAAAATAGTATTGTTTGCTGCAGTGCCCTGTTTTTTTTTCTATTACCTATTCTATTCTACTCTATTCTATTTCATTATGTTGCTTTTCACTGTTAGAAAACTGCTACATACTACCTGCTTTAGAATTACCAGTAGATAAATCTGATAAATAGATAAATTAGATATTTCCTGTGGAAGCATTACGTACTTGTAATATTTGTAACAATATCCCCATGGCCAGGAAACATGAAAGATAACAGTTTTTTTCTTTTCAGTGCTTCAAGAAACAAAAAGAAACAGCTTTGTAAGTATTTGACCGCTTATTCATACTTTTTCCAAATGAATTCCTTCTTTAAAATTGGCAGAACCTGAAAAAGTTCACTCAGCATGATAAACCCACCCAGCTCTTGCTCTGACTGGTGAACATCAGCCCACACCTCCTGTCCCAGCAGAAAGGGGTCTCTGGGAACAAGACAGGACACACACAAATCCTGCCCTTCCCTGGCCATGCCAGGGCTCTGGCTACCCCTGTGTGTAACGACTGGAAGAGAAAAAACCCTAATGTCATATCCTCAGCCTGCTGACAGCTTTCTGGAGCTGAACACAGCACAAATTAATTCAACTTACTTGTGGGGTTTTTTCCCTAGAAGGTGATTTTTCGTTTCTTCTGTTCATTTTGCTGCAGGTAAAGAACACCCAGAAAACATCATTTCAGAAACAGAAAAGCCATTTGGTGAGATGATGAGATAAAGCACTGAAACCATTTTGTTGGGATCAAGTTTATATGGTTTTTCAAAATACAAGTGGTTCTTTGCATGTCTTGATTCTCACCTGCTGCTTAGAAAGTCAGAACTGGTCACTGGGAACCTTTCCTTGGAGCACCACTGAGGCAGGTGGGCTGCATGAGATGATGCCAGCTCTTGTCCTCCATGCTTATTCCAACAAGGAATGCATATACAGTCAAGCATGTGGGTTGTGTGTCAGTCTACAGAGGAATCTCTACAGGACTGTGATGCTGATGCACACAAAGTGAGGTGTTGAGCTAGCTGACAGCTCCTTTCTGTCCTGCAGTGTTATTCCACATGGCATTTGGGTGGTGGCCACCCAATTCCCTGCCCCTTCCCAATGATCCTACGGGCGTCTCAGCTTCTCTTGCCTGGGCAAAAGCTGCCTGGCACTCAGCACTGCTGCTGCACCTCCGTCTCTGTGGCTCAGACAGATCCCAGGGCTTGGGGCAGCCCCAGGTGCTCGATGACACACAGTGAAGTTCCAGTGTGATTGCTCCAGTGTTACAATGGGTGGAAAACATTTCCAGCCATCCCTTCCCTCAGCAAATGTGCCACTCAAGCACTTTTCTCAAGGTCCTGGCAAGCTGTTGAGGCCTCATCATGCCTTGGAATACTCCATTACAGTCAATACACTAGGAGCTGTAAATCAATTTAAGACAGTGATGTGCCAGCGCTCTTTTCAGAGGAGCAGGGCAGTTCCTCAAGAGGAAGATTCTGGAGCCTGATCTGGAATGTGACCCAGACTGTGTCCTTGACTCACCAGTGCTCAGGGAGGTCCCTCAAGGTGCCACAGTGGTGTCACCTCATGTTCCTGGGCACCCGGCCTCAACACCACCAGCTCTGGAGAGCTGTCCCAAACCTTCCTGTTAATCTGCCACAGCGCAGGGGGTGACACAGTGCGGATAGAGCTGGGGACAGCGGGATGGGGGTGCTCCGGATGGGTGTCACTCACCCAGGGGTGCCACACACAGCCCCCGGCACTGAGGCTCCTCGGGGCGGGAGGCCGCGGACTCCAGGGCGTGTGGAATGTTCTGGAGCCGGGGTTGTGTGGGTGAGGGGTCCCTGTGAGGGGTCTGTGTGAGGGGCCGGTGTGAAGGGTCATTGTCAGGGCTCGGTGTGAGGGGCCGCCCCACCGGCTCCCCCGCACTAAACGTGTCCCTCGCCAGTCACCGTCCGCCCTCCCGTCGCCGCTCTCCCCCCTACGCCCCCGGCCGCGGCCCCAGGCCCCTCTTCCGGCTTCCGGTGCCGGCGCTATAAGAGCCGCTTCCGCCTCGGGCCCGCGCCGGGATCGTGCTGCCGGTGCCGCCATGAATGCCCGCGGTGAGGAGGGGCCCGTCCGTGAGGGGCGGGAACGGGCGGAGGGGGTACAGCGGTGCCTCAGCCATGGG